TCTACTGGGGCTAAAAACACAGTCTGAGAGTGGGGCAGGGGACAGACGCCTGCCCCACAGGATGCTGAGTTCTTGATGTGGCAGACGTGTTTCTCCCGTCCTCATGTCTGTGGCCTCCTGGAGAGGGCTGGGACGGGTGGACAGCTGGTAAGTGCACGTAGCTCTGTGGGGACGAGGTGGCTCCGTACAGTGACCTTTGCCTGTTTTCTTAGCTCCACCCTCATGTGGCTGCGGCCGCCTGTTTCGGCCTGAGACCCAGGCTGCCAGCACACCCTCATCTCCATCCCCCTGTGCTGGCGTGTGCGCCCTCTTCGTCTAGGGCTTTGGCACCTGAGTCACAGTCTTCCTCGCCTTCCAAAGGCCTGCCCTCGTCCCACGGGGCTTCTGTGTCCTTGCGATGACCCATCCGCAAACCTCTAGACCTTACTCCCGGTACTTGGTTCCCCCTCGTCAAGTCATCCAGGCTTTGATCTATTTTCCTCCTGTCCTTCAGCCTCCTCCTGTGTTCGTCTGTGCTCCCCTCATGGAGCCCAGATTGGGTGGGAGACACACCCCTGTCCCTGGTCCCCACTTGCCTCCCACTGCCCCTGTCTGAGAAACCTGAGGTCAGCCTGCTGCGCTCCTGCCACCAGACTGTCCCTGACAGCCCTGGCATCCCTGCCACATGCAAGTGCAAGGCATCCACGCTTGCTTGGGCTCTTCTGGATGCCTGGCAACCCTCTCCTGGGTTGTCAGTTCCATCTCCCCCCTACCCCAGTCCAAATTTCCACTGCCTTCCTCAAGCCCCCCTCCCAGCACCACCCCCTGTGCATCTACTATGTGCCAAGCAAATTACACGGAGCTGAGCAAGTAGACGTGGGCCCTGTCCTCACGGAGCTCAGGCTAAAGTCAGAGCGAGACCCGCAATCGTCATTAGTGGCCTTGACCAGGAAGAGGGCAAGGGCACAGGGGGACTGAAAGTGGCAGGTGGGACATGCCTTTGACGCCAGCCCCTGCTCCATCTGCTCACCAGAGGGGTCCTTCTGCTCACAGGGTCGCCCCTCCTCTGTGCTCTGTGTCTCCCCTTCCCCTGCCAGGGACTTCACAGATTGGCTTCCCTCCAGGACGTTCCATCTCTTCTTCTCTGTTGCCTCGGTCTCCCCCACCTTACTGCTGCTGGTAATAGTAACCATTTGCTGGACTTAATGCAGGTCGGGCTCATTGATGAGGTCCCTCACAAAGGACCAGCCATCGAATGGCCACGGGCAGGGGAGGGCATGTAGAACAGCAGAGAAACGAGAGGCAGGGCAGGGGAGGGGCCGGGGAGACCCCTGCCGCTCTCTACAGTCGCCTGAAATCCCAGCTGCCGCGGGACCTGGGGACCACGGGCTGCTGACTGCGGACTAAGCCTTCACACGCTTTCTTCCTCTCCAGTGGCCTCCACACGCTTTCTTCCTCTCCGGTGAAGCTTCCAGCTTTAGGATCAAACCCAAACACTGAGGTTTCCGTCCCCAACCTGTGACTTTGAAGCTCCCTTAGAAGAGACCCCTTTGTTTAAGTATCACATAGCACCCGGCTGCCGGCCCGAGCTGAGTGCCCTCTCTGTCTGCCCTGGGCAGGGGGGTGACACCAGGTTTCGGAGAGCCTTGTGCAGAGGAGGGAAAAGACCTTCCCCTCAGCCCAGAGAGCCTCGGCCAGTGGTAGAGATTGTGGGTGTCAAGGAAGAGAACTTTCTCTGCTTCCTCCCACTCTTGCGTGTAGCTTTCACAGTTCAGTGGCCAGAATTCTTTGGAATGAAATGGGGCCTTGAGGTTTAATATCTAGGAACGGAGCTACTCAGACATTTGTGTGCCTTTGACTCCGGCTTTCCGGGGGCCTCATCTTTTCCCGGAGCAGCTTTGGCTGGAGGACAGGGGAGTCCGTTATGAGCAGTGCCCTCGCTGGGTGGGGCCTTCTTCAGGGGGTCCTTGGAGTTCACAGTTTTGTCTTCCTTCCCTAGTTCTGCAGACCCCAGGCCTGTATTTGCACGAGAGAGATGCTGGTTCCTAAATTCTCAGCAAATTGCAAATATTGCGAGATGTGTTAACACTCTGGGCCAAGACAAATGTAATTTTGGATTATTAAGTCCACATGACAAACGAGTGCTTATTAATTTTTATTTATCTTGAGCGAATTAACAGGGCATAGCAATGGGGAAAAATGATTGTCTTTCTGCTCCTTTGCAGAGAATAGCTGATTTGGAGAAGGCCCTAAGAAACAGTAGCATAAAATCATAGAATGTTGGAGCTGAGAGAAACCTTTATTTGCTTTAATTCAACAAATATGTATGAAGTAACTCCCAGGTTCTGGGAATTGAAAACCAAACAAGAAACTGTTCCAGTCCCCAAAGAGCTCTGCCTTTGGTAGGGCCACGAGTGGTAGGGAACCCTGTAAAAACAGCAGCTTGATCAAGGAATAGAGGTCGTGTGAGGTTAGGGCAGACTGTCGTTAACTCTTTGCAGAGAAAAAGAGAGCCAGAAAAGGCTTCCTAGAGGAAGTTGTATCTGAGTTGAGTTTTGCTGTATGGGTAGGAGTTTGGCAGGGCAAAATGTTGGAGAGAGGCACGCTTGTCAGAAAGAACAAGAACATGGCCTTATTAAACCGCAAGGCGAGTTCAGAAACCCAGTGGTCTGAAGGTGGAAAGCAGAGGGAGGTGAGGGGACAGAGGTGGGCAGGGGCCGAGCCCTGAGGTCTGAGCTCAGGATAGGTCTGGACTGTTTCTCAGTGATAAGGAGCCGCCCGAGGGCACGAAGCAGGGGAAAGACGGTCCCGTCGAGGGACCCGTGGAGGGCACATCGGAGGAGGCAGGCTGGAGACGGGACACCCTTGTCAGGAGGCTGCAGTGGACGGGGGATCTAAGCCAGGCAGGGACAACGGGAAAGGAGAACGTTTATTGGATGGTTCTAGTTTCCTTTTTGCTACTGTAACAAAGAACCACAAACTCAGTGGCTTAAAACAACGTAATTTTGTTAAAGTTCTGGAACCCAGAAGTCCACAATCAGTTTCACTGGGCTAAAGACAAGGTGTCAGCAGGGCTGGTTCCTTTTAGAGGCTCCAGGGCAGGGTCTGTTTCCAGATTGCCTTTGCCGGCTTCCAGAGGCCGCCCGCATTCCTGGGCTTACGGCCCCTGCCTTCATCTGCGGTGTGCATTGCTCTGGCCTCACGGCACCTTCTGTCGGGCTGCCCCTCCTGCAGCCCCCTCACCAGCGCTGCTGTGGGTGCCCAGGGCCCAGCCGGGCAATCTCCTCATCGCAAGATCCTTAATCACATTGGCGAATTCCTCTCTGCCATATCTATGGGCTGGCGGTCCCAGGTTCCGGGCATCAGGGCGTGGACGCGTTTGGAAGGACATTACTTCCAGCCTGGATGCGAAGAACTTGGGAGCCGTGGCCAGTGCACTTTGGCGACTGACTGGGGGTCTGGGGGTGATACTAAGAGAGATAACCCCTCTGGTTACTGGTTAGGGCAGCAAATGAATGGCGGGGCCACCAACTAAGGAACAGAAGGAGGAAGAGCAGATGTGGGGAGTAGGTGTGGGGCGTGGTAGCGGGTAGCGTGCTCGATTTTGAACACATTGAATTCGAGATGTCCAGTGGCTGTCAGATGCATGGAAGTCCGGGGAGAGGTCTGGGTGAGAGAGAAATATGAGTCGCAAATGTGCACTTGGTAATAGAAACTGGGGGCATGGGAGAGGTAACCCCGGGAGAGTGTAGCAAAGAAGTTCTTGAACTTTATGGTACATCAGAATCACCTTGGGATAGGGTTGGTAGGTTAGCAAATAAAAATACAGGGGTCCCTGTTAAATTTGAATTTCAGATAAACAACAAATAGTGTTTTGGTATAAGTAAGTATTAAGTATGGCCCTGCTTCTCTTTGTTTATCTGAAATTGAAACTTAACTGGCAGCCTGCATTTTGTCTGGCAGCCCTACCCGGGAAGCTTGTTCAAAGGCACGTTGGTTCGTGGGCCCCTCCCAGAGATCCTGGTTCAAGGGGTCCAGGGGGAGGCTTGGGGGCCTGCAATTTAACAGGTCCCCCAGGAGGCTCTCGTGCAGCTGGACCCGTGACACCACTGCCCGAGAGCCAGGCAGGGGAGGGCTTAGGAGCAGACCCTGGGGACCGCAGCATCGAAGGGCGGGAGAAGGAAGAAGCCAGCACAGGAGCCCGAGAAGGACCAGACGGGGCCCAAGGAGGGGAGTCAGCCACGGTGGCGTCATGGAAGCACTTTGAGGATGAGGGTCAGTGCAGGGACAGGCTGTAAGAGCCCCTTGGCTGACAACGTGGGGCCCGTGGTGACTGAGGCAGATTGGAGGACACCCCACTGCATCCGCGAGCGTCCGCGCTCTCCTCCAACCTGGGCAGAGCCTGCATCTCTCCGCCTCTCTGTCGGAGGGCTGTCCCCAGCACGGCGTGGCTGCAGGCAGGCACAGCCTGGAAACGCAGGAGCGTGAGTGCCCCAGGACGCCCTCACCGCTGGGGAAGCAAGCTGGTGAACCAGTGGCCCCTCGTCCTCTCAGAGGGACTCGGGGGAATCGAGCCACAGCTGCCTGCAGTGGTGACCTGCTCGTTAATCACACTCGGTCAGTTTCTCCCTTCCCTGTCCCAGTCTGCCCCTCCTCCCTGCCAGCCCTCACTTCCTGGAATCACCTCACAATTATTCCACATGCTCCAGGTTTGCTTCCTGGGGGCCCAAGCCAGGGCCTTGGAGATGGCTGTTCCCATGGAGTCATGGGGCCAGCTGAGCGGGCAGCGATGGCCCCGGGAGGAGCTGTGCGGCAGGGAGGGGTCTTCAGTGAGCCTCACCCGCCTTGGGTGCTTGTCCCTAGTGCTTGTCCCTAGTGCTTGTCTCAGGACCCCGGGGCCCTGAGGTCCCTCTGTGGACTTCCTTCTGGGGTCCCCCTGATCCTGGTGGGCAGCTGCACGGGGACTCTGCTCTCTGCAAATGTGCTAACGCGTGCCCGCGTCTACCCCTCCTCTTCCTCAGCAGGTGACGTTCTCGTGTTCCACGACAGCCTTCAGCCCCTTGGAGGAGGGAGGAGATTCGGCTTCACTGAGCTCTGCGGTGCACACAGCCCTGCTGACTCACTTAATCTTCAACACCACAGGGCGTGACTCTGCCCATCTCTCAGAGGGGGACGCCGGGGCCCAGGGGAGCTAAGTAACCTGCCAAGGTTGCCCCACTCAGTAAGCGGTGGCTCGGACGTTGCTCTGCTGTCCTGACAGCCTGCCGCAGACTCACGGCAGGCATTTGAGGGTGGCGCCCACATTCAGCCAAGCCCTTCCCCTCCCCGTGCAGCCCGCAGATCACCCTCTCTCCAGACGACACTTCAAGAGACAGGGCTCCTGAACTCTCACTTCTTGGGTGACATTCTTGCTGTGCGTTCCCAGTGAAATGTAGCGCCCAGGCCTGGTACCTTTCCAAAAGAAGTCTGAGCCCTGTGCCCGTTACCTCTGCTGACCTGAACATTATACCTCCTCCCCGACCCCAGGGCTCCATTCGCTTTTGAAGCAGCCGCTGCCCTGCGTGGGCTCATGTGAAGCTCGGGGTTACCTGAAACCCCCGTGTCTGTTTCACATGGACTGCGGCCAAGGCAAGATGCTCCTGGAGCAGTTACTCGTTTGGATCCCAGCTGCAGGCCCCGGCATTGGTCGGGACTGTGGTTTTCACGGTTTGGGCTAACATTACAGCTATAAAAAAATGCGATAGGTGTTGGTTTATCTATATGGCCATTTGTTGGCAATTAACGAATTCATGTTTGTGTGTCTCACATTCCCAAGCAGATTGCTAGTTCCCTGAGGGCAGAGGACCTGCGTTGTCTCCTCTGTGTCGCCCATGGGGGCCTGGCACAAAGGGTGCAAACAGCAGGTGTCCACTGGCATTCCTACTGCCCGTGGGGGGACAGAGACCCCACCCTCCACTCCCAGTCCTTCCAGGGCTCAGCACGCCCCTCGGGACACCCCAGCAGCTGACTCGGGACACAGAACACCCCCACCTGCAACAGCCCAACAGAGTGGTGCCCTGCGGCCGTGATGGTGGGCAGGGCGGGAGGAAAGAGCACCTGCCCTGGAGCCAAGAGATCCACATCTGCGTCCCAGCCACAGCTTGTGACTCGTGCTGTTCTCTCACTTGTAAAACGGGGACAATAAAAATAAGTATTATGTGTTGAACCCATACTATAAAATGCAATCAGTGCTTAATGCCCATAATCTCAACCCAGCGAATTAGGGATAACTAACATCTCTGATTTTTAGATGAAAAACACCAGAAATTCAAAGTACTTCCTTTATTGGCACAGGGTCACAAAAGTAGAGAGTGGCAGGGCTGGCATTTGAACCCATGCCATCGGCTCTGCCTCTGGCTGTGACACTGCACCTCTCACCTCGTAGATTACAGCACTGGCAAACGGAAGCTGACAGGTGATGTGCCGTCGCCAGGCCTGGCACCCCGTGAGCGCTCCGCAAAGGCTGTTCTGGCCTCGTCCCGCCTCCCCCCATTTACTCCCCCCTGGCCTCAGAGCAGAGCTAGGGCCAAGGGGAGGAAGCAGAGGAGGTTAGCCTTCAATCCAGTCAAAGGAAGAACTTCCTGACAACTGGAGTCCTCTGGGAGAGATGGGGCCCTTGGCAGGACCCTGCCGCAGTCTAGGGATCGCTGGCGGTTGGCTGGGAGCCCTCGGGAAGACGTCGTTTGTCCATGGGCCATCCCGACCCCTCTCCCTGCCTCGTCACTGACACACGACCTGTCACCGCACGTGTTGATCCCACCCCACCTGCCCTGGCATTCTTCCATCCGCTTCTCTCCGGCCACCAGCGTGCTCCCCTGACCTTGGCATCGGCCATCTAACAGCGTCAGACCTTTCTGGACCTTCACGTCCCTCCAGGCAGCACTCTGGCGTCTTTCTGATCCTGCGCTCCCCAGCTCAGGGGCCCTTGTGCCTTTCTGTGACTGCAGGAAAAGGCGCTGGGAGACCTTCAGAGGTCTCGTTGCCAGTCACCCAGGCCCCCTCCTGGCCACCAGAGCCTCCTGGTGCCTTTGCACACGCTGTCCCCTCTGCCCAGGACACTCCCTCCGCCACCTCTCCCCCTCCTTCCGAGCCTGTGCATTTCCCCACTTCACAGCTGTCCTTGATCATCCCATCTCCCCCAGCCTCACGCCAGGTGACAGGGCATGCCACATCCTTCTCATGTCACCAGAGCCCCAACCTCCTGTCTCCTCTGTCGGGCCTAGCCCTGAATCGAAGACTTGGCTAGCCCCTGAGGACGCCAAGGTAAGTGAGCCAAGTTCCCAGTTCCTAGAGCTCTGCAGGCATGCAAGGGGTGATGTGTTGGCCAAGTTAAGCCCAGGTGCTCTGGGGAAGAGCACGAGGAGGACAGGTAACCCAGCCAGCGGGGGCAGGGAGGGCTTTCTGGAGGAAGAAGTGCTTAAGTCGAATTCTAAGGTCTCAGTGGGAGTTAGGAAGCCAAGAAGGGCAGGAGAAAAGTATGTGCCTGTCTAGAGTCCCCAGAGAGAAAGGCATGCCGGGAACTGCAGGAGGGTTGAGCTGGGGCTGCGTGGCCCTTGAGTGGAGAGTGGGAAGGAGGACCCAGGAGGCCTCCCAGGTCTCTGGAAGGGCACTAGCCAGGTGAAGTGCCTTCATGAAATGCGCAGGAAGACTGGGTTTTAGGGGGACAGGGGTAAAAAGGTTGGTGAGGAAACTGATTTGGGGTCCTTATGGGACCACTTAGCGGGAATTGCCTGGTGGGAAGGGCTTCCAAGGTGGAGGCCAGAGTTAGTGAGCCGTAGGCAGGTGGGACAATGAGCACACCTGGCTGGGGCCTGGGGAAAGGGGAGGGGGACTGGTCAGCTGGAGGGGGTTTTTGTGGTGACTGTACCTGACAGTCAGTCGTGGGCCAGACTCTGTGCTAAGCGCTCTTTTGAGCATCATATTTTATCTTCCCAACAATCCTCCACCAGCCCTATTTTACAGATGAGAACACTGAGGTTCAGGGGGATAAGGGACTTGATCAAGACCATGTAGCACTGGCTAGAGCCTGGTGCACAGTAGGTGCTCAATACAAATGTGAGAAAGGGATGCTGACTGGCCGCATGAATGAACGAATGATTGAATAAATCACAGAATTCAAGCCAAGCGGGTCTGGCTTTCAGCTAGAGCTCTGGCCTCTCCTGTCCCTGTTGTCTGAATTCTCTCCGCCTCAGTGACAATGACGATAGTTCTACCATTGAGGAGAACAAGTGACACAGCTTCCCCTGGGCCTGGTGTGCTAGGTTGCTTTGAGCAAAGCCCCCAAATGCCTCTGAGCCAGGACCTCTCGGACTACATGCTTCCCCTCTTCTAGAATCTTCCCTAACTCCTCCTGGGGCAGCTCCATACCAGCTGCCCCTTTGAAGGTGCTGTTTGCTTTCCCTGCCTCAAGTTTTATCGTTTTCTCCAGGAAAATATTTGTCTTGCCATTATTTTAATCAAGCCTCTTGGGTCCAGAGGGGAGGCCTTGGAGAAGAATGAGTCCTGTTTCTGTTTGCTGTACTGGGAGAACAAACAGCGTTGTTTGACTTGCCTGCGTTTTCCCAGTAGGTGGACCCCTTGGAGCAAACACGGAGTAGACCTGCTCCCTGCCCCTTGGACCTGGAGTTGACTCTGGAGAGTTTAAAACTGAAAGGGCTGTTCTGAGCCAGGCCTGGGCGGGCCAGGCTGGCCTCTCTGGCTCACCCAGAGCACGGGTTCCTTTCACTGTGGTAGGTGCCCGAACTGGGAGTGAGGCAATTCCTTCTTCCTCAGATAGCACCCTGGCCCTGTACTACTTGAATGGATGGACCTGAGAGCTGAACTTAAACATGAGGGTGTTCTGGAGACGAGGGGTATGATTAGATGGGGGGCTGTGACCAGGAACAAACCCAAACTTGTTGGGATACAAAGGGCCCTGGTTTCGGAGCCAGAGAGATTTGGTTCCCATTCAATCACGGGTGAGCTACCTGCTGTGTGTGTGTCGCTAAAGGTTGAGCCGTCCCTTCATCCATTCTATGCGTGTTTAGTGGGCACTTCCTAGGTGCCACCACTGTGTAGGTGTCGAGATGCATCAGTGACCAAAACGAGTAATAATCTCTGCCCTTTGGAGCTTGCAGTCAGATGAAAGAAGACAGACATGCCTAAGACATAAGAGAAGCATGCAGAAAGTTAGAAAGGGGTCAGAAAAGTGGGGTAGGCTAAGTGTGACCGGGAAGGTCACAGTATAAACAGGGTGGAAGGGGAGGCCTGGTGAAAAGGTGATATTTGAGTAAGGACTTGAAGGAATGAAAATACCTAATTCCAGGTGTGTCTGACTGCAAAGTCCACGTCTCTCCCAGCTGAATGGGACCAGGGAGCTGGGCACATAGTAGTGTCAGAGAGTATAATTCTTCTCCCACCACTCTTCCTTTTGGCGTCTCTTGGGCATCCATCAACCAGGGAGACAGACAAGAGGGTGGTGGGTGGAGATCCCAGCAGGGCACCATCGCCGGGGCAAGGTGTGGACATGGAGTGGGGTCTGGGGAGCAGGCAGACACCAAGATGGCCATGACTGATCTTGGAGTTGACTGAGGAGGGATGGGTCCGCAGGGAAGCTAGCTGGGCCCATGCACTGATGTTCACTGCACTCCCTAAATTTGTCCCGAAGGCAGATGAACTAAACAAACATTTGTCGAGTTCCTTCTAGGAGCCAGGTGCTCCAGGTGCTTTCCCATCCATGTGGTTCTTCCAACTGCCCTCTGAGGCAGGCAATAGCATCTCCATTGTACAGTGAGGGAAACTGAGGCTCAAAGGTTGAAAAGCTTACGCGTTGCCGGGACACAGATGTGGATCTGTCTCATTCTAGACCGCTCAGTGTTTACTTTACAGTCATGACTGGCTTCCCCATCTGAGCCACCACTGCCATCACCGTCACCCTCAACGTCACCATCATCATTACCAGCAACACTGCCACCAGCACCCTCGCCGTGACGCCACCATCATCATCACTGTCGACACCAACAACATCTCCGCGAGCCCCACCACCAGTGGCCCGTGATTGCGTGCAGCAGGGCACAGGGTGGAGTCCCGGCGGCACCGCTTACTAAGCTCTCCCAGCTTCAGCTTCCTTATCTACAAGATGGGGGCGAACCTATCGCCCCAGAGGTGGGACAGATCTCTGTTTCCTCAACTCCACCGAAACTGCTCTTGTCATGATGATCGTCAGTGACCTCCCGAGTTGTCATGACACACACCCTCCAGGAGCATTCGAGGCATCTGACCACTTCCTCCTCCTGGCTTGGTGACACTCGCTTTCTGGTTTTCCTTCCAACTCATTGATCGCCTTCCTTTGCTGCCTCTGTCTTTTCTACTGGACCCCTAAATATTTGAGTCGCGCAGAGCTTGGATGTAGCCTCTTCTTTCTTCATCCAGGCTCTCTACCTGCTTGTCCAAGCAACCGCCACGTCTCCCTTGGAACACCACCGTGACCTCACAGCGCTAGGGTGTGGTCAGGGGGGTGGGCCTCAGAGTAGGCCGCAGAGCCCCCCTTCCTGGGCCCATCCGGGGTGAAAAGCAATCTGTTCAAGCAGGAGTTATAGGGCCAGTCCTGAGCAGAAATTTTTTGCAGATAGTTTGAGAAGTCTCCGCCTCTCAAATCTGCCTCCCTTTAACCTTTCTTTTACTTGCTGTGTCTGCACTGTCTCAAGTGGCCCGAGCCCTCGGACTCCTCCCACCCCCAAATGTGTCCACACTGAGATGTCAGTGACAGGGAAGCTCTCAGAGAGTGGCCCCCACCACCTGGGTTTCGATTTAGCAAAGCACGAAGCAGAGTGCTACAGAGAGATCTCCAGTTAGTAACCGGGGACATTTGCAGGATACTTTCCTGGTAACTCCAAAATAGCACCCCTTTGGGGGCTACTGTTTCAGGCTCCAAATTGAGGGGCCCATTCTGAGACAGATGGTCCCTGTTGGGCTGTTCTCACACACACGAGCAGAGGAATTCTTTTAGGTCCTCTTGGCCTCGGGAGCATTTTGCATCAGATGCCAGGAGAAACAGATTGCCTACCCCTTATTCTGGGGGCTGTGGGTGGGTGGCGTTGAGAGGAGAGCTCTTCCAAGAATGTGTTTTCCCTTCCATCTTCAGGATGCGACGCACTTCCCTCTCTGCTCTTTTGAGGCTGGCATGAG